GAGTTTTTTTTTTTTTTTTTTTTTTAAAGCAGATGATTTGGCATATTTTAAACACACTGATGTTTTTCCAGAAAGGGTGTTAAACAATATCATCCTTCTAGGTAGGACTTGAACACACTAAGACCTCGCATTGAAAAATGGATTTGTTTTGTCACCAGACAAGAAAGATCCCAGCAGGGCAGAAATAAAACCTGTAGCAAATCCTTCATGTGATTGAGAAATAAACACCTTTTTTTCTCTCCTTCTCCTTAAACTTCTTGTGCTAATTTTAGATGTAGGGGACTTGGAAAATATTCACATCCTTCCACTTGTCCCCTTCCCCACTGAAGTCTCATTGTCCATTGGATATTTGATGCTAGTTCCCATTTGTTTTAATTTTACTTCCGTGTGAATTCCTGCCATAATGATTCTTGATCAACTTGCTTAGGGCTTGTCAGCTTAGCAACACAGCGTGTCTGGTTCACAGATAATAAAGCTTGTTTGGCTGGTATGTTGTAATTTTAAAATGTACTAGCTGCTACCAAACATGAGGAAATGTCCCTTGTTGATAATCCTCTGACTTTTGTCCAGACCAATAGATCTAACTTCCTATGTATTATTACGGCCCTACTAATGGAAAGCTTTTGTTTTGAGTAAGTTGAACACAGTTTGAAGAGCTTGAGGAATTTTCTGAAGAGGAAGCATTTGTCAGTAGAAGCCAAAAAGTGCCCTCTAGAAATGCACTTGGACGGATGCAAATTGGTCTAAATCATCTCATCTTAATTTAACTTTGTTAATAGTGCTGTGAGATATACCATAGAGGAAATGCCATGTATCGAGGAGATTACATTTTTGTTTCCATAAATGGCCATCTGTTGAGGACCTGCTATGTCAGCGTTGGCACATACTGTGTGCAGGTGCTAAATAAATGAATGAAGTGAGCCCGTCTCCAAGGAGCTCAGCAGTTCTTAACATTGATACAGGTAAAAATTTCAGCATAGTGTGATATCCATACAGAAAGGTTGAACAAAGCCTCAGAGGCTCTCTATGGTGGCAAGACTCATGAGCACAGCAGGATGTTTCTGTAATATATTTGTGTTGGAGCAAAGTTTGACTGTTTTTTGTATGAGAACTTGATTTTAGTCAGTGTAACTTAGCACTGGAGTGTGTACCATTGGATATCTCTCCAGTTAAGCAAGAGTCCAATGGTGCCTTTGAACAAATTGTATTTCTTGCAACTTTAGTTTTTCTCAACTTTTAAAACTGATTTTTGTTGTCAAAAGCTTCTTAGTAAGTAGTATTTCTTAGAGTCTTTATGAAAAAGACTTAATTGGTTAGTAACTGCTTGAGGACTTCACGACTGTGGTTAAGCTGTGTTGAACTTACCAGATGTTGGCATTTTGGCATCCATTGAACAATCCCTGGATATTACTGGACACCATTGTGAATGCCAGATTTGAATTCTTTTAAATTAATGAAATCACCTTGATATGAAGGGAAAGTAAGATAAGTAAAAATGTGAAACAAAGCTAGAGGATTTCTATAGAGGTCATTTTATTTTGGTAAGTCAGTTACTTACCTGAGGCACATATTTTGAGAATCGGAAGAAGTTTTTGTTTTTGTTTTGTTAAATATATCTTTATTGATTTCAGAGAGAGGAAAGGAGAGGGAGAGAGATATAGAAACATCAATGATGAGAGAGTCATCAATTGGCTGCCTCCTGCACACCCCCGGCTGGGGATTGAGCCCGCAACCCGGGCATGTGCCCTGAACGGGAATTGAACCCCGATCGCCTGGATCCTAGGTCGACGCTCAACCGCTGAGCCACGCCCGGCCAGGCTGGAAGAAGTTTTTATGAAAACATTGAAAAATATGTAAATCACATAATTTGGGAGAAGAGATAATTTGCCTTTTCCTCTGTTACTCATGCTTCCCATTCTCAGAGATACTTGGAGACTGTAAGTTTAGTTTAATGTATCAGCTGGGAGTTGTTACAGTTGCCTGTGAGGGTCTGCTCTGATAGTTTTCAGCTTTTAGAAATTGCTGGATAGGGTGGGTTAATGTTTAAAGAGAAATTCTCTTCTGGCCTCTCGGGTCTAATGCAGGCGTTTGTGTTGGGTCAGGTCCTAACAGTTAAGTCTACATATTTTTCAGTTTTTTTCTGGGAATCCTAGGGAGAAAATCAAATTGAATGTCAGTATTAGTTAGAATTAAAGATTGTCATACCATTTGCTGGATATCAACTTTATATGTTCCAGTTCACCCATATAGTAAAACCTATTTATCTTTTTACTAATGTGGAATTTCGTTATATTGGAGTTATAATTGAAAGTAATTTTAAATTTTGATTCTCTTAGAAATTAATAGGAAATTTTCTTGTTTGTATGTGTGTGTGTGTGTGTGTGTGGTCCTCCCTACCCCAACCTGGTCTGTCTGATTAGTTTGAATGAGTTGAAGTTTTAAGATGGTGTTTAATTCTGTGGTACCATCAGAAAGGTATCTCTTGGTGGTTTTATCTCTAGCCTACCCATGGAGCAAGCTCAAATCAAACAGATTAAAAGAGTTGTAAAAGATGGTGTCTTTTAGTCTAGTTAACTCTTCTGACCTAAATATATATATATTTTTAAACATATATATTTTAATATATCTTTATTGATTTCAGAGAGAGGAAAGGAGATGGAGAGAGAGAGATGGAAACATCAATGATGAGAGTCATTGATTGGTTGCAGCTCACAACCCGGGCATATGCCCTGACCGGGAATTGAACCCTGGTCGCCTGGATCCTAGGTCGATGCTCAACCGCTGAGCCACGCCTGGCTGGGCCTGGCCTAAATATTTTAATGCAGCTTCATATAATAAACCTTCAGTTTTGTTGAAACCAAATTCTCATCTGAGGGTTTGAAAGGCCTTGCTGATCTTTTAAGAGAAAAGATCACCCAAAAATGAGCCAGCACAGACTTTCTTGAGGCAAATTCTGTCTTAGCAACCAACCTCAGCACTGAACATTGTGTAATGTTTCTGTTCTGGGGTTGCTGCTTAGAATTTTGGGGATGCTTTAAGCCCTCTGCATGGAATTTTACCATAATTCCAAGAATGATTATTTGCTATGGATGGAGTGTGTCGGGGGGGAACCCTATTGGCTCCTAAAGCTTCACTTTGCACTTGTAGGTCCAACTTTTCTCCTGCCCACCAAGTTCCAATGTCACTTTCAGAATCTGCAAGTGCTTTGTAGTGGCTCAGACTTGGGACTCTTTTTCTGGGTGTTGGTAAATTTCAGGCATATGGAAAAATATGGAGACTAGAGTGAGTACCTATGTATCTACCTCCACGTGAAGAAATAAAATATTACAAATACAATTGAACCTTTCCCCCATCTCATTCTCCTTCCCTTTAGACAGTGACCACTGTTCTGAATTTGCTATTTATTGTGTGTTTTTATACTTTTACTGGATATGTATGTGTTCATAAACCAGATATAGTATTGTTTCCTTATGCTCTGTAATACTGAACAGCTTCTCAGTTACATTACGATTTTAAGATTATCCATTAAGATACATTCATTGTAGGTTGTTTTTACTGCTGTATAATGTTCCATTTCATGAACGTGCTGCAATATATTTATTCATTTCATTGTTGATCAGCACTTGTGTGTTGCCCTTTTAGAGCAATGGACAGCTTTGAACCTATCTCCTGTGCATGTGCTTAAAGTTTCTCTGTGGTCTCTACCTAAAAGGGAAATTGCTGAG